GAGCCGGGCACTAGTGATAATATATTGACGCTCAACCGGCCAATATACAAGGTACGCTCAACTGGCCACGCTCAAACGGCCCACGCTCAACTGGCCCACGCTCAACTGTCTTCACGCTCAATCGGCCACGCTCAACTGGCTACGCTCAAACGGCCACGCTCAACAGGCCCGTTCCGTAGTTTGACGTGGTTGTCCAAGATCGTTAGAGTAGGGGTTTCAGGCAGGTTCTTAACTGGGGGTGCTATCAGCTGGGAACAAAATGTCTATTGGTTGGGATTTGAATTGTTTGGAAAGGAAGGAGGCTGAGGTGGTTCAGTAAGTCTAGTGTCAGGCAGGGATTGGGTAAAATAAACATCCGGTGGCTTTGGCTGGGTAAAATTTGGCATTTTCGTAGATTTAGAAAAAGATGGGAAAAATTCTTTAGATTAAATTATTAGATAAATAGCACAAAAATATAAATTGTGAGAAGAAAAAAATTGTTCCGACTTCGCTTCGCGACAGTGATATCGAGCGATCAAGAGGGGTTGAGGGGAGATCGGTGGATTTGGAGTTTTTTATAAAGGATATCGAATATAAGGATATCGATGAATTTACAGAGATTAAGTTAGATTTGAAGCGAAATCGAGGGCTTAAGAGATATTACTACATGAATATATCACTTAATCCCTCAATCTCAGTTCTTAATCGCCACATTTGAACGTAACGCACATAATCGTATAGACTTGAACGTTTAGACTTGAATACCCTTGGCCTTCCAAAATAAAAAAATATTGCCTTCGGCGCTTAAAAGGCGGGAAATCTGGCACCTTGGCCTTCAAGATTTTTCAAAATTTTTGCCTGTGGCGCTTAAAATGGAAGAAGCCCAATCCCATTTATTCCTCCCCCCCCCATTACCTTATGCTCCCTTAAGCCCCTAAACCGGAAAGTAAATCATGCGTCTATGAGACTTTAACTCACTATTTCAGCACCGCAGTGAAATTTTAGAAGTATATTGAGTCATATGTGAAGAAAATAAAAATTTTAAATTTAAAAAAAATTTTAGTAAATCCCGATCCCGATTTTTCAATACCGGTCCCGATTCTGGATCGGGATCTCCATTCCAAATCCCGATCCCGATTTCGGCCAATCCCGGATCCCGTGTCGGATCCGGGATCGGGATCACCATTCCAAAATCCCGATCCCAGGTTTTTCTCTAAATCCCGATACCGCTTAACTCTAGTCAAGACCAAGTAATTCACATAGAATCAAAAATTAGAATAAATATTTATTTAAATATCAGGACTTTATAATCAAAAATTATTTGACAAGAATATAGAGGTATTTAGTTAGATATACATTCAATTTCCTCAACTTCAGTACTAGCACTACTAAAATTCCCAGTTATCGTCCATCGACTGTTATCATTACAACGTAGAGTTGTTGATATAGACGTTGATCCAAATGTTGCCCCAACATCAGAACCAGAAGAATTAAAATACTTTTTTGAAATTTAAAAGTTTGTTTAAAATTTCAAATATCTCTTACAGACACAATTAAAGCTGTGCTGCCTGGATTGCCAAAACAACTTATTGTTAATGCTTCACCTTTAATTTTAATTTTTAAAAAATTTAATTAAAATTAAATTTACATCCATCTAAAGTATTTTCCCTTTCCAAAGACTGCCCAACATTTATGGAATTTGCATCACTTCTTCTGACAATAAGCATATCCCTACATTGTTGACATCCTAAAGGAGGGATAATAAAAGTTACCGTATTCTCTAATAGAAGCCCATCTCCAATAAAAGCCCATGTCCTATTAGAAGTCCACTCAATAGAGGGTATTGAAAAATAGAAGCCCAGGGCTTGTATTAAAGACAATACGGTATTTTGTTTTTATTGATATTTAATTAATAACACCTCTAGTATTATTGGTTGGTGTTGGGGATGGATTTGGAGTAGTTCCATTCACTAAATTTATTTTTAAATTAACAGAAAATTTTTTAAATTTTTAAATAAATTTTTTAAATAAATTAATCCGTCCCTGAATAAAACTATTTCTTTAGAATTCTTTTAGAAAATATATATGTATATTAAACTTTAATAATTTTTTATTTTCAAATTCAAAATTTTAAATTAAACTACCGTAATTAAACTATCCCTCTCTCAAATAATTACCCCCTCCCTATTAATTACCGCCACCAGCGAGAGGTTGAAACAATAATTACCCTGGATAATTATTTTAGCAAATACGGTAATTAGAGTTCGGAAAGGGATTTTAACAAGATATTCTGGCGACGTAAAGTTCTGATGTCAAGACTAGGCTTGCCGGCCAGATAAAAATAAGGCCCGAAAAAATGACTTAATGTCGGTCCAGTTCGAAAACGGCAACCCTAAATATTCCTTAGTTGTCTATTCCTTTCGCTCCCGCTTTCCTCTTCAAATTCCCCATTTCATGTCCCCTCATTTTTCGAAAATTAATTTAATTTTTAAATAAAATTAAAACTTTTTTGTTGTTGTTGTTGTAGATCTAATGTAGTATCGCTTAAAGTTAAAGGGTTACTTGAAGATGAAGTAGGAATACAGGCAGTATTATAATTTAAAAAAGAGAAGGTAATAATAATTATTTTAATTATAATATATTTTTCCATTAAAATATTTATTCTTTTTTTTAATTTTTATTTAATTAACAAGAAGAGAAAAAATGGAGAAATTCATTAAATATATTTCCTTTTGTTTATAAAGCATACTTGACATTCAGCTGTATTATTATTCTTTTTTTGGAGAATCTTTAAAAATTATCCATTTTTTTTAAAAAATGGATAATTTTTTTAATAAATTCGTTTTATTCAATAATTCAAAAATGTTAAGAATTGTATATTTGTAGAAAAATCTGAGTAATAAATTAAAAATTAAATATATTTAATTAAATGTTATGAAAATGATTAATAAATTTTTGTAAAAATTTAATGTTAAACCCACACAACTATTCTATATATAAGTCATTTAAATACTTATATTAAATAAAAATTTTGTTTTTATTCCAATTTTATCTTCATATACATATTTATAATAAATTCCAGATTATGGAGTGGAATTTATTAATTTATCCGTTTTATAACTTATCCTTTTTCATTTATATGAGAATTAAATGACCTTAATAAAAATATAACTTTTCATTAAAATTATTTCATCCAATTTTCAGTTATTTATAATTAATAATTCTTTATTTCAAAATGAAAATTTTTAATAAACTATTATCATTTCATTTACTATTCTTTATTTTAAATTCTGAGGCAAGATTAAAAGAAATAATTGAAGGAAAACAAATCTTAAAAGAAATGGTAATTTTTTAAGAAAACTGAATCATTATTTTAAAACAATTAGTACATATATATAATTTTATAGTGTGATAAGTCCGATTTTAAAACTGATATTGTCACATTGTTTGGCCAAAAATTATGCGATTGGGCAATTCAGTTTGTAAGCAAACCAATCATAGAGATGTGTCATGAAGCTGCAAATCTTTTAGCTGGATTGGCAGTTTGTGACAAAGGTTGGCAGCATTATAATAACATAATCATAAAAAAGTGCAAGCACGATATCCAATTTTGGGAAGAAATACTCTGCCCATCAACGACTATAAAAATTAATTGCTGCAAAAAAAATGCTAAAAAATCCGCTGAAATGTTACCTAGTTGTGAACAATTAGCTGATGCAATCATGGAGTTATCTATTAAAGTGTGCAAAGGTTCACGTGATGAAGGTCTCGAGGCAGCAAAAGATGGCTGCAGTTTCTCGATCAATCTTTTAATGGATAAACCAAAACAATTTTGTTATTCCTTATTTGGTATTAATTCAACCCTACATATATAAAAATACGATTTATCTATTTTTGAAAACGATTTATCTATATGAATAAACGCATAAAACATATTATTGAATAATAAAAATTTTGAATCATTGATAAATCTAGCAATAATAAATCTTAAAAGAATAATAAATCTTAAATCTAGCAATAATCTTGTTTGTTTTTATTTTTTATTCTTTTTTTGTATTTTAATTTTTTCTGCATTTTGTAAATCTTTTTATTTGGAATACATCCAACAAACAATTCGCTATTTCTTCTTTAAAAAGGTTTCCCTTTAGGAGGAGCATTATTATATTTTTTGTTTTCCTCAAATACAGATTTAATATATCCAAAAGCTGTCGTATTTCCTTTATATTTAAATTCAGAATTATCATTTTTATATTTTTCATCGTCTTCTCCTTCTTTGGAAATATTAAAATATATTCCCTTTCTTAATTCCAAAATTTTAGCTTCATTTATATTTAATTCTTTCAAGTTTTTAATAATTGTTTTTATCTCATTTGGGTAGTCAACATTAACTAATAGGGCTACTTGAAGATGAAGTAGGAATACAGGCTGTATTGTAATTAAAAAAAGGAAAGGTAATAATAAATATAATTATTTTAATATATTTTTCCATTAAAATATTTATTCTTTTTTTTTATTTTTATCTAATTAACAAGAAGAGAAAAAATGGAGAAATTTCATTAAATATATGTATTTCCTTTTGTTTATAAAGCATACTTGACATTCAGCTGTATTATTATTCTTTTGAAGTTTTTGTTTTTGGAGAATCTTTTTTAATTTAAAAAAATATTTTATAAAAATAAATTAAATTGGAGAAAAAATACGTAAGAAAAGAAATAAGTATACGGGTGTCTTATCCTTTCTTATCTAGCCTGCTAAAGAGCAGGGTAGTTGGTAGAAATCGAACCGAGACGAGATCTCGATCAAAAATCTCGGTTTCGAGATCGAGAATTTTTCAATATCTCAATTCCCTTACGACACTTTAAATCTTGTCTTTAGTAAAAAGATTTTTTAAATCGTTAAAAATTGAAATTTCTACTTATGAATTAAATAGCTATATACTTTACATCATAAATAAATGTTCCATTTAAATTTATCGAGATCATTAAATATATTTTATAATAATTTCATATTATCAAAAAACTTTATCTTTCAATAACAATATTATCATAAGCTTTATCGCTATGGGTTCTACTCCAATGACATACAGCACAAACAATTATTAGCCATATAATTACAGCAATTGCAAAAACAAATACCCAAAGGGCATACCAAGCGCGTTTATAGGCTCGAAGTTGCATTCGTTCTTCCCATGTTCTGAATAATTTTTAAATATTTAAATTCTGTTTTTGTAGATTTGATTAAAATAGTAAAAGGTTCTGAGTGAAAGGATTTTGTAAAAAGAGTCAGACTTCCCCAACTCTAAATAGCTTATCCGCATTTAAGGGGTGGAAGGAGCACCTAACAATAAGGTTGGCGGATATAGTTGGAAATCTTCGGATATTCTGATCAGAGCTGCGTCGAAATTTCGATTTTCGATTTCCGAATTTCGAAGATATTTTTATTTCGACGCAGCTCTGATCCTGATCCGATATCTGAACCGAAAATTTCCGGATATCCGGCCTTTCTCCGATTCCGATATCCGGATCCGCCAACCTTACTTAACAAGACAAAATACTTTCGAAATAAAAACAAATCAAATAAATATTTTACAATTCACTAGCTGCTTGTTCATTTGCTCTGCTAACAGCATCTGCTAACTGATATTTTGCTAGCATTTGAACTTCATCATTCCAAAATGATGGAGAGGGGGAATGTATAGCACCACGCACAATTCTTTTTTTAATTTTTACAAATTTAAATTATTTTTAAAATACTTTGGAGGTAAATCCAAAGAAGTATAATATAAAGACTCGTTTGTATTTGATGCCCATGTAAAATTTCCAGTTGAAGGATCTCCGGTCGTTACAAAATTGGCTATCATTCTTTAATTGAATTTTATTTATAATTTATTATAATATCCAAAAACTTTGTTAAAAGCCGAGACATTGTTTTGTCACGCCGACTGAAAGGCTCGATATGAAAATTAGAAGAATATCCTTGAGTAAAGATAAAAGCATGATCTAGTCCGTGAAATGCCTCAAGACGGTGTGCTGAATAAATTTAAAAATTCTTTTGCTTTATTTAATTCTCTCTTTCTAAATAATACACTTATGTATCGGAGAATTCCGACATTTAATTAGTAATTCCCGACACAAACATTTCAGACCCATAAATGATATGGGAAAATATTCCTACAGGGCTGTTTTTAGAGATTTCGAATCTCGACCGATACTCCATTCCAGACTGGTTAAGTCCGGTTCCTTGCGGTTAGACACGATTCAGCGCCCCCGTTTCCGCCCAGCTCAGTTAAAAATGTTTTTTGTTAAGGGGTTGAATCGTGGGAGTGAAATGAATCGTGGCCCCTAATCATACCACACCGGGTTCCATGTGTTGACTTATAATGTGTGTCTTATTTTTGTTTTATCCTCACATTTTAGATGTTGGTCTTTCCTTTTTAGCCCAACAGGGGCATTCCCAAACATTGAATAAAATCTTCTGTCATCCTCTATAACAGACCCTTTCGGGACATAATCGAAGGAATAAGCAAAAACAGGCACTCCATTCAAAGCATAAGCTTCAACTTCGCTTTGACATGGAGCTACAAATTCCACGTCAGACTCCAAATCTTGAAGTCTTGCAACAACGGCAGGCATTTCATAATCTATTTCTAAATCCTAAAAATATTTAAAAAATATTTTTAAATTAAAAATTTTTGTTTTTGCCTGTATATAACGTAAAAATGTAGCGTTAGAAATTAAGTCTATTGTTGAATTTGAAATTCTGTGGGAAAGAGTTTCAGCAAAAGCATTCTCTACTATTTTGCGCACACTCTCCTCTACTTGGGAACGGCTAAGATTTGAATAACGATAAAATTGATAGAAGGATGCTAAAAAATTGGAAATTTTTATTTCTGGTTTTAATTTAATTATAAACAGAATTTTGGAGATAAGGGTAGGAAAATGGAATGAAAGAAAAACCAGAAGGAAAGGAAATCCTTCTTGATTAAAGAAATCCTTCCTGATTTAAATCTCCAAAACTCGTTTGTTCCCTAATTATTTGCCTAAAAATATTTCTTTACGTTTTTTATGTGCCCACTCTTTTCTTGCGACCCCAGTCATCATAGGCACTCGAGCCCCTTGTCTGATCATTTCAATTCCTGATTCAACTATTAACTCCCCATCCACAACCATTTTTGAAACTCCAAGCTCAGCAGCCAATGCTCTCCAAAATAAGGGATTTTCACTAAAATTAAGCTCGTTTCGAAAACAAGACAGCAATTCAGGTGCACTCATTGGCCCTCCATGATTTAAACAATCTGGAATGTGCTCTTGAAGATTACAGGCACGTTGGGAACTTCTGAAAGCGTGAAAGTCGGCGGCCTGTACTCGAGAACGTTCCGATTGTGGGAGGAGGGCTAGGACGTCATCTAAATCCTGGAAAATAAAAAAGATTATTTGATCTACACTCTTACTTTTAGATAATATTTTGGTAAAAAGATCGTAATTTATAGTGACGAGTATTTTAAATTTAGGCAGCCCCTCACCCTCTGATCCACATTTTAATAATCATATGTTATGTATATTGTGAATTACACAATTTTTAGGTGTTTAAAATTGAAGTAGGGACATTCCCATACCGTATAACCTGTATTAATTGCCCTCCCTTAAATAATTACCCCTCCTATTAATTACCCCTCCAACGATGGATTGAAACAATAATTACCTCCTAAAACACGTTCAAATTTCAAACCTCGTATAATTACTCCCTCCAACGGAAGGTCGGAACAGTAATTACCCAAGGTAGTTATTAAAGGATATACGGTAGATAAATAATCCTTTTTAATTTTATTACTTGGTCAGCGATTAGTTTATTGCATCGAATATAATCAGCAATATTAACCATATCCCACTGTGGACTACTCCCTTGTAGGCGATGTATTGCCCAGCCAGCATTTGCTGATCCTGACATTGTAATTGCTCCGTGTAATAATTCTTTTGTTAAAGGACTAACAGCTAATGCTGAAACTGCTGCAGAACCAGCACTCTCTCCCATAAGAGTAACCTTTTAAATATTATTTAAATTTATGTATAGGTAGTTTAATGGCACTAATGAAGAATACTTGGCACTCAATTCTTCACAAGTGCCGATAATAACTTTGTTCGGGTCGCCATTAAATTGCTTTATGTTTCGTTGAACCCATTCCAAGGCTAGCTGAAATATTTATTAGAATAACATCTAATTGAAATTTATTTACAGCAATATCCCAAAGCCCGAAATTCCCTTCTATTGTCTTTCCACCTTCTGCTGCTCCGTGACTTAAAGACATAAATCCGAGAGGTCCAAGTCGGTAATTTACACTAATGAATGTAATGTTGCGAAAAACAATATTCCTAGCAAGTACTTCCATATCTATGCCGGTGTCTGCAGAACCGGCTAGAAAAGAACCTCCATAAATCCACACGAGGATTGGATGTAAGCCGCCTTCATCTTCAGAGTCCTGAATAATTTTTAAGAAACTGGTATAGGTAATTAGCACTAGGGTTGATCATGGTCGGTTAACTGAACTTGAGCCGAAAACCGAGGGTCTGACAAAACCCGGAACCGACAACTGGGGGTCGAAAACTGGCGATAATCGGAAACCAGAGGACCCGGTTAATAACCGGTAGTGAACAATCCTAGTTAAAACTAATTCAATTTTTATCGGTTAAAAAGCTAGAAAATAATTTTTGCAAAATTTTTCCCCCTCCTCCCTCCTTTTCTCTATTCTACATATTTGAGCCCCGGTAGTTGGCTGTCACTATTTATTTTTGAATTTTTAAATTCCATTAATAGTTACGTAAGGTGCAAATATATTCAAAGTTAAACAATCTTCACTTTCCAATTGCATATTTTTGCCAGAATAACGGTCATTTCTGTGAAAGTCCATAAATTGAAGACAAGGAGGTCCATAGTCAATAGCGGCAAATTCTCTTTCCCATTTTTCTTTTTTCAGTGGTTTTTTGAATCTTAATTCACCAATCGGGGGTTCTGCATAGCTGAAATGCTTATTTAAAATTTTTAGTGGCGGAAAAATGTGCCCAAGAAAAACTTGTCGTTTTTGAGTTTCAAAGATGGAATTTGGGTTTTGTAAAAAAATTTTATGTTCGGGGTCTAAAGCCACAGAGTCTGAGACGGTCTGAGCCGCCCGTTAACTTGTTCATATAAATTTTGGTTATAGTCAACTTTCAAAATTTAAGAAAATCCATAGTAACTAAAAATCCATCTTATCTATTCGCTGATATTACCGTTTATGCTCGAATAATTACCATGGATATTGTTTCGACCTCTATATTTTTGACCTCTATTTTTTGATATTGTTTCGACCTCTCGCTGGAGGGTGTAATTATTCGAGAGGATGTGCTAATTTGGTGTATATCTCAATAAATCGAAGAGGTAATTCATTTAGGTTGTGATAATGCTTAATAAAATGGTCCAATAATTAAAATTGACAATGATTTTCTCAATATATTTAGGATTTGTGTAAGAAAATGAGGGGGTAATTATTCGACCATATACTATATCCGTGCCTGTGAACATTTCTAATTTCTTTTTATTTAATTTTAAAAAACTAACGGAATCCCTCTAAATATCTGCATTTGTTGCCCATCAATTTTAAATATTTTTCCTTTAACTAATCCTTGCTCAACCCAAACACTTCTACTTTTTTCAAAATGTTGACAATTAATTTTAATAATTAATAAATAAATAATTAGAATTTTTGGAATTAAAAATAAAATTAATTTTATTTTCATTTTTTACCTAAATTAATTTTTTAGATTTTATTTTTAATTAAAAAGAATTATTTTTGTTAAATTTTCTAAAAATTGAAAAAGAAATTTTGTAAAATTTATGAATAATTTACAAGAGAAAATTTATTAAATTTAAGGACGGACAAAGAATTTTTAAGTTTTTTTAATTTTAATTTGTCAAGAAATATGTAGTAGCAAAATTTTTGAATTAAAATTTGTTTCATTTAGGGAAGGATCATGCAGAAATATTTTGTTATTTCCGAGAACTAAAAAATCAAGGATTTTGAAAACGAGTTGAATATTTTTAAATACCGTAGATGCTCTAATTAAAGTCATGGGCGTCACTTTTCAATGGGTCAACCTGGGTGGGCTTATATTAGATATGGGCTTCTAATAGAGCCAGGCTTTAATTAGAGCAGTTGCGGTGATTCAATTTAATAATAAAACACTCCTAATTTTGCCTAACAATATTTAAATAATCAGACCTAAATTTGAGAAAAAACCATGAGACTGAGAAATCTTATCTTATGATGAGAGTTAAATAATTCTAGTAGAGAGATAATTATAATTAATTAAACTCTTTAATTACCGTAAATTCTGAAATAATGTCCCTCTCTCAAATAATTACCCCCGCTCTATTAATTACCCCCTACAGCCAAAGATCGGAAAAATAATTACCCCCTTAAAAATAGCTATAATTAGCCTGTTTTAAATAAGCTTAAATAATTACCCCTTCTCTTTTAATTACCCCTTCCAGCGAGAGGTTAAAACAATAATTACCCTGGGTAATTATTTTAGCAAATATGGTAGTTTAATTATTTTAACGAATTTTTGCAAGAAAAAAAATAAATTTAAAAGTAAATCAAATAAAAAGCAAGTTGATTATTGCAAGGTTTTTTACATCATCCTTTTCACTAAATTGATTAAATCATCCACTTATCCTTTACTAGAAAAAACTAGCAACTGTTTGAGGGAATTAAATAGACAATAAAATTAAAAATATACTTCCTTCTTTTTTGTCTAGAATTTTTAAAAAGTTTCAACAAATAAAAGCAAGTGTCAAGCTCAATTTACAGGGTATTCTTACAAATTTTGCATAACCCTAATGATCTTTTGTCCATGCAAACTTGACAAAAAATTTGTTTCGCATATACAGTCATGGACAAAAGTTGGGCGCAAATTTTTAAGAAAATATCTTATATGTAGTATAATGTTTCAAAAATTCTATATAAATTTTTTGAACATTTCCATTGATATTGAGTTGAAAAAAAGAACGAAGTCCGAAACTTCTTTGTTCATCGAGATCTTGAACCTCAAAAATTAACGGAAAAAAATGGAGAAAAACTACCCAAAAATTTTTCAAAATTTTTATTTAAAACTAAATAAAATATATGTATACAAATTGAAATTTTAATTCGATTAAGAATTATTTAGACAAATGAATTGCAATTGTAATCACCCCATTTGATCTGATAAGCAATTTTGATTCTGCTTAAATTTAAAAATAATTTTTAAAAAATAGGGAGGAAAGGACCTTGATTGGCGACAGATTTATTTTTTGTCAGAGAAGCGGAAGATGCCGTAGGTGAATTTGAAGGAACAGACAATAAAACAGCCAGTGACTAAAATGAAACAGAAAAATAAGGAATTTTTTAATTGTCGACAAAGCACAAAAATTTTAATAAGAGAATAGTTACCATAAAGGAGAATTATTTTGGGAATCTTCTTTCGATTGGAAATTAACCCCCTTATGAAAACAGAACATTTCTAAATGACATAAAAAATAGAGAATAATTCGGTAATAGTGCTGTTTACAGCAGACTGGTGCATGGATACGGATTTTGCTATCCGTATCCGGATATATCCGTGAGGTCAATATCCGTATCCGTTTGTATCCGTCCAACTTTTTAGGCATATCCATCCGCGGATATCCGCGGATATATCCGTTTTTCTCAAAATGGTCAGACTGGCTAAAATTTTCAAAATGGTCAAATTTATTTTAATTCGAGTAATGGTTAGATAATGCTGTAATAACTGCATGCAACAAAACGAACCTTGCTTATGCACATCGGAGGTTCGAAAATAGGAAGGCAGAGTTCGGAATTCCGACCCAACGCTGCATAACAGGGATTATACCGACAAAAAATAAAATTCTGAAAATTTTTGATAATTTTTGAAAATTTAAATTCCCGATTTCGGGCCGAAATGAAAATCTCTGTTAACTGACCAGTTGATTTCAGCGCTGCAGGCGAAAATTTTGAGAATTTTGGAAGACCATGAAGCAAAAAATCTCATTTTTAGCGCCGCAGGCGAAAATTTTGAAAATCTTAGAAGGCCATAGGCCAAAAAAAAATCACTTTTTTGCCCAATATCCTCATCAAATTTATCCCTATTCCCCATTTCGAGAGGGGGGTGGGGAATTACCCCTCTCTCCCTCCCTCCCTGGTTATGAGCCTGGTATAGGTTTTTGGACCTCCAAAATTCAGGAATTTTTGTTTGCTCAGCTAAAAGTGAATTTTTTCTGCTTATGGCCTTATAAAATTCTCTAAATTTTCGCCTGCGGCGTTGGAAAGCAATGAAATCTGGTTTCTTGGCTTTTAAAATTCTAAAAAAAATTTTGCACTGAGTAGGGCTCCCCGAGCCTTCGGGTTCGGGATCGTTGGGGATCAGCGTTTGCCGGACAGGGCATGTCGTGGTCCGGGGTCTTGGTTGACTTTTGGGTCGGGGTTAGGGGTCATGTGCGAGAATCAATTATCTCCTGGCGTTGGGAATATAATTATTTTCTCTTGGCAAAATGTATTTTTATAATTTAATCATGGATGTTTAATCACAGAAATTAGGGAAAATTAGGGACGGATATCCGCGGATTTGGAGCATTATATCCGTATCCATCCGTATCCGTCCGATTTTAAAAAAAACACTATCCATATCCGTCCGTATCCGCGGATACCCGCGGATATCCGGATATTATCCGTATCCATGCACCAGTCTGGTTTACAGACCCTAATTTTTCACTTATTAATTTTCCCCTATAGTTGTACAGAAGGGTCAAGCTATTTCTTTCTTTCATTCCAATTTTCTTTCGATATTTTGCCTTCAGACAAGCAAAAATTTAAGGTATGAGTTTGTCAAAAATATACCCCCAAGAACTAGTTCCAGAACTAGTTCCAAAGCTAGTTCCAGACATACTAGTTCCAGTTCCAAACTAGTTCCAGATAATCGTTAGTTCCGTAGTTCCAGTTCCAAACTAGTTCCAGATAATCGTTAGTTCCGTAGTTCCAGTTCTGGAACTAGAATTAGTTCCGGAACTGGAACTTTGTCCATCACTGCCCCTACCCGTAAACTCGGTTCTTGAGAAGCAGCTCTATTAGCCAGTTGAGAAATTACACCAGCACAGTCAGGCGATGCCAAAGTCCCTTTAGCAACAAACAACGCCCCGTTAATGTCAGTACACAGAACACCGCAAACATTGCGTTCAGTCATTCTTAAATAATTAAAAATAATTTGGAATAATTTTCTAAAATTTCCATACATTTCTTCAGCACATTCTTCCATTCGTTTTTCCATTATAAATTATTTAAACCTTTCAAATCTATCAAAGAAATGGATTTTTAACGTTAGAAATTAAAATAAGAAACGATAGAATAATCGTATTTAAATTAGAAAAGAAAAACAAAAAAAATTTCTTTAATAAGAAATCAAAAATAACGAAAATTTAATCGATCCAAAAGAAAAGACAAAGGGGTATTTACTATGAGGAGAGTAATGAGAGTAAGAGAAAAATCTCCTGTAAAAAATTGTTCGAAGTCTGGGTAATCACCGGGGACAAACAAAAAAAGAAGAGATTTTTCTGGTCATTATGCTGTGATTACATAAAAGTCGCTTTTTGTCTTGCGAAAGAAAATAACATTGAAAAGTAGGAGAGACAAGATCGCTTGCGACTTTACCTCATCATTTCCCATTATCTTTTCTGTCGCAAAACGCGCGCGATTTTTATGTAACCCTCGCATTAGAGAAAATATTTTACAGGCAGACTTTGAGGTGGCACAACAACAAAATTTGGTAAATTTCCTGTCAATTAAGTTTTCGTCAGCCAACAAAATCCTGAATATAAACACAAAAATTGTTTAAATAATTTTTATAAAAAAACAAAAATTTACTTGTAATTGTAGAAAAAGTATTTTGAAGCAAAAAAGATTTCTTGTTTTTATATTGCAAATATTCTCTAGCTAATTATTATTGTTAGCAGGCTGATTATTTGCAATTTTCTTTAATTCGTGTTCAACAAATTCGTCAATGAGTACCGGCCAAGCACCTGAATTTATTTTTTGAAGATAAATAAAAATTACTAAAATTAGTTTCAATTTTCAAAACAAAAAAGGATTTCTCCGGTTGTAATAGAAATTTTAATATTAACTCCAATTTCAGGATCTCAAATAAAAAATACTCCCCCCCCCTTACAAGCTCCCAAACTAAATTTAAAACAAATTTATTGTAAACCTAGTAGTATTTAATTTTTGAGGGATCTTATAACAAGGTCAGAAAATAGCTAAAAACATTTTTAAACGTTATTAAAAACCAACTTTCGCTATCATAATTTGAAAAATCCACAGCAATATTTGTCAGAAAATCGAGAAATAAGTTCCAGGTATCCTTCGGAATTCCACGAACTTTTTTCAAACGCAAAAACTCAATCCAACTTGAAAGACGAGTGTCTGTGTTGGCAAGCACTTTAAAAATTAAAAAAATTAATTTTTAAAATATTTGTAGGAGCAAATCGAAAAGCTTTTCGGAAAGGTAATTTAAAGCTAAAATTTAAAAAAAAATAAAAATTTACATATTCGCCAGCATTCAATCGCCGTATCCAACTCCATACTTGATTGTTTTGCAAGTTTAACATATTTGAAGGCAAATTGGTATAATTCTCGAAATTGGTTTTTATTCTCCAATAATTCTCTTTCGACATTGGGCAATAATTGTTTTAATTTTTCAGAGCTGTCAGCACTTTAAGAAAAATGAATAAAATATTTAATTAGTGACATAAAGTTAAAGGTCGTTATAAGAAACTCTTAGGACTCAAAAGGGACACGCCCAAAACAACGAGCAGCCATAATTTACTTCAGAATTTCCTTATCTCAAAAATTTTAATATTAAACGAATCCTCTGATCGAGCTAAAGAGTTTGGACCAAAATTGATAAGAGCCGGAAATTTTCCGGCTAGTTATGTCTTTGTGTTGTTATGGCCGCGCGTTGTTTTGGGCTGTACCTAATTGAAAAAAAATTTCGAATTATAATGAAAACGATCTTAAATTTTGAGAGTCGTTTAAACAGCTCTCACCATTTAATAAAAACCCCAACTAAAATATTCACATCTTAAACAGAGGTTTATTTTTAGTGCCTCTTATAGAGAGATTCAACTTTATAAATAAGAAAAACCCCAAAGAATTCATTCCATCACGAAATTCCTGTTGAGAAAATTCACATTGCCTTTCAGCCTTCAACTTCCAAGCTAAAATCAATGCCATTCGACTGGTTGGATCCACACCAAGATCGCGCAAAAATCGAACCATTCCATGAGGGCCAATTCGACCATTCTCAACCTTTTGTGCCAAATCCTTTGGGTCTAGAAACAAATTAAATTTTAAAAAACTTTAGGTAATATTTAAAGGGAAGGGGCGAATCGTTTTTGGAGATTTTTAATAATTCATACATTGCTCTGTTTAGCAAAACAGCCCGGGCAGAAGACAAATAAGAAAATATGGGTTTTGATTGTTTTTCGCATTTTATTTTTGTATTTAAAAAATGTAAGTACTACTCCGTATCCCTACCTGTTCCGCAAAAACAGGTAGGGATAACAGAGTAGTAACAAGATGTAGTAAAAAATTCTCGGAAGGAAAATCGGACACTCGTTACAAGAAATGTCAGGACTCGTGGGAAGCTCGAAAAAGCGCAAACTGATACGAAACCTAATAAAAGGCAATCACAGAATATCCAGTAAGAGCGAGGTAAAAGTTTAATCCCGGGCAGGCTTCGATCCTGCGACCTCCTGGCAGTTATTGCTAGGCGCTTTCGCTCACCACGTACAGGTGAGCGCTCACCACGTTCGCTCACCACGTCTCATTTTTCCCTTGAGGAAGACAAATAATAAGAAAAGTGGGGGCGACTCAACCGCTCCAAAAGTCGGAAACTTTGAAGCCCTATAACTTTTCGAAATGGGGGTCAGGGCCAAAAAAGAAATATATAGGGATAGGCTATCGACCATGCTCTACACGATGGTATAATTTTTATAAAAAAATTTTTGGTCACAGTTCGGAATGTTCCCTTGTGAGCTACCGGGACGCTGCTTTCACCTTGTCTTTTATTAGATCTTAAACCTCCGCAGTCAGCGTTTTAAATGCTAGCCAGCTGGATCTTTCTCCCTTTCTCTTCCTTACAATCCCCAAAAAACTTTTTAAATCCCAATTAAAGATACAAACAAATCCCGTAGGAATATTTTAAATTAACAAACCATTAGCATATTTTTGAAAGAATTGATCCAATCGTCGATTATCCACAGAACTGTCAACCTGAGAGAAATAAGAAGGATTCTGATAGAAAATATCACAAGCCATTTCCAAATTCCAATTAGCATTTGTTAAACATTGAATTGCTGTACTTTCACTAGTTTGAGTAAAACTAACAAACTGGCGAACCTAGAGTGTAAGTTAATTGAGAAAAACTGGGAAGAACCATAATAGTTAATTAAACACCTAGAAAGGTCTCCATTTATTATAGAGGACAGTTAAGAAAATACAACCCGACCATTTAATTGAACGGTAAAAAAATTGAGAAATGGCCTATGAGAAATAATTTTAAAGTTAAAATTTTGAAAAACAAACAAAAAATGTTTTAATTTCAAAAAAATGTTTATAAGAAAGAATTTCAATTTTCTCTAGCTTTTTCTAATTAAAATATTCTAAAAAAGTCTAAAAAGAGATTTCGGTACTTTTCCGCTATACGACCGCAACTGGGTGCCAGCCGAATTTTGAACGGCTATAACTTTTTACCGCGTGATCAAACATGATCCATCAAGTTGGAAAAAAGATAACGCTTATTGAGGGCTTTTGAATGATAAAAAATTAATTTGTATTGGATCAACTATTAAAAAGTTATAGCCGATCAAAGTCGGCTGACACTCAGTTTGCGGTTGAATAACGAAAAAGTACCGAAATTTCTTTTATAAAACTTTAAAAATCAAAAGAAAACCTTTTCTTTTTTGTCCTTCGTGTATCTGCTCATATTCACTTTATGTTTCAACTGTTCAGCTAATCGTTCAGATTCTTCTTCTAATTCACCTCTTTCGTTGGTATCACCACGATTCGATTTAGTTCGTTTGTTTGATTGAGCCACAATGAAAGAAGTACAAAAGAAGCGAAAATAAATTTGTGTAAATAGCTACAATTCTAAACCGATTAAAGCAAAAAAGAATACAGAATTGATAAAAAAATTAAAATTCTCGTGATATTAGTGACACACCCAATACGTCGCGGACCAAAACGTTGCAAACGAAACGGCGCAAACCCAAAACTCAAAGGGGAGGGGAGTTTGTTCTGATTAGAGGTCGGCAAAATCGCATCCCAGGGATTCTGGAACGGGACAGTTAAACACGATTCAGCGCGGACCCGAACTCCGGAAAAATCCGGTCCGGCGCCGGGCACTAATTTTTAATAACTGGCGCTGAAACGTGATGGCGCTGAATCGTGGGCGCTGAATCATACCCCACCGTTTTAAAAATCTTCTAATTGAGTCTTAGAGATCGGAACGGGATCGGGACCCGGTCCCGTTTCCCGGTCCTTTTTCCCGGCTTTTTTGAAGACGCCGGGATGAAACCGGGATCGGGAATTCCCGGTTTTCCCGGTCCGGGTCCCGGCCGGTTAATTTTCATTTCCCGTTTCCCGATCCCGGCTTTTTTTGGACCGGGAAACCGGGAAAAATTTTAACAGCTAATTTTAAATATTTTTGCTTGGCGTTTTGATTTTTGACCTAAAAATATTAGAGATTTTACAAAAATTCTCAAAATTTTCGCCTGCGGCGCTGAAAACGGAAGAAATTTGGCTGGTTGGCCTTCCTAAATTCTCAAAATTTTCGCAGAAGAATCTGGAACGGAGAAGTTTGGAGGTATTATTGGAGGAAAAGTTGAGGGAAATTAGTGTTTAGTGCGATTTTATCAAGGGACCTGGTGATTAAGCCATCTTTATCCCTCTAAATCCATTAGATCTGCCTTAATCATCATTGCCTTCCAATTGAAGGGATTTGAATAGATATCATGTGATATAGCTGGTTTGATGTCTTTCTCCACAATTCTCTCTTAATGTTACCCAACAAATACTTGAATCTCTCGATATCTCTTTTAATCCCTGATATCACTATTGCACAGAGAGGATCAGAGTGGATTTGGAGGGATTAAATAAAAATTAAATTAAAATTAAATCAGCATCAAGGTGGATTAGGAGGGATTAAAGGGAATTAGATGAGGAATACCTATAGGCGATATAAAAAAAATTTGAGGAGGCTATCGGGAGATCCTCAACTCCAAAATCTCCTAATATCCCACAATCCTTCTCTAGCCTCTCAAATCCCTTTAGCCCTACGTAATCCGCTTTATGTTTTAATTTATTGTAATTTACATTTGTTTTATTGATTTATTTTACTGATTTATTAAATTTTTCTATTTATAAATCAGATTTTTCAATAAATAACTACTCCCACAACTTTTTAAAATTTTTAAATGGATTTAAAATTTTTTTTAATTTCCCGGTTTCCCGGTCCGGGTCCCGGTCATTTTTGACCGGGATGAAACCGGGAACGGGAATTCCCGGTTTTCCCGGTCAGGGTCCCTCCCGGTCGACCTTCAGAACCCGTTTCCCGGTCCCGGTTTTTTCAAAATTCCGATCTCTAATTTTATTGTTAATGCTCTTTTCTTTTTCTTGAGATGAATCATTTTTGTTGCTGTTCATCTTGCAAACCTCGATATAAAAGAGTTGTTGACCATATTTATCCTCGAATGCCTCCATATGATGTGCCAGTTAGTGGAAATATGCAAAAATTAACATTTTATTCGATATTTCATCCTGAAAAGTTAAATCGAATTGGTATTTATCTTGTTCAAAGACTTTCACGAGATCTTGGTCGACAAAAAGTTGCTGATGTTAAGGTTGATTATAAATATTTTTAAATTTATTCGGGACGTGACATATGTCATTCAATTAGTCTCGACGAGCTGAGTCGAACGGTACCACTCCCAATTTTAGGAAATGATTTTGTACCGAGTTATATTATACATAAATCCACCTTACTCCCCCTATGGTTTTTCAATATTTCGGGACCTATAACTCGGTCCAGAATCATTTTCTGAAATTGGGAATGGTACCGTTCAACTCAGCTCGTCGAGACGAATCGAATGAGATATGTCACGTCCCGAACTTTTACCTCGGTACACTACACTACAGCCGAAAGAAAAAAGGGGAAACACAAACTTAACTATTACCATATTTTTAAATTTAATTTTTAATTCAAGGTTGCCGTTGATGCAATTGATCAATTATTAAAAAGTTGTCATGGTTCTCCTTCAATTAATCAATTTATTGAAAGTTTTCTTTTAATGGTTCAACGACTTCTGGAAACAAATGACCCTCAAATGGAAAAATTAGCCACTGATTTATTTGTTAGATTTTCTGGAATTGAGGAGGATTCACCTTCTTATCATCGCCAATATGATTTTTTTATTTCAAAATTTTCTTCAATGTGTCATGCAAATCGAGGTGATTATGTGCGCTCACAACGATTTAATGGGCTTCGAGGTCTTAGAGGTTAATTAATACGGTCACATTGGCCCTATCTGAATAAGAGGGATCTTTGATTTTTTTTCATCATTTTTCCTACCTTAATATATAAATAATGGTCAGTCTTTTCTTCCTCGTTCGATTCCACTCGTTTTACCTTGGCATATTAAATGAGAGGACAGACAAAGCACACACCCGGACAGACATAACACGAGTGTTTTCTGTCCAAGTCCGTCCGTGTTTTGTCTGTCCGAGTTCGTCCGTGGTCAGTCTTTTCTTCCTCTTTGAATCCATCCATGTTTTGTCTGTCCTCTCATTTGAATATGCCACAGGTAAAAAGAGTGCAATCGAACGAGGACCATTATTTATATATTAAGGTAGGAAAAAAATGATGAAAAAAATCAAAGCGCCCTCTTATTCAGATAGTTACATTTATCTAAAATTATTTTTGTCAATTTCTATTAACATTTTTCGATATTAGGTGTTATTTGGAAATCTGCAAGTGATGATTTACAAGCTAACATTTGGGAGAAACAACACATGAACAAAATTATTCCTTCAATTCTTTTTAATTTCCAGGATGAAAATGGTTAGTTTTTGACTAATTTATTCAAACTAGTGACCGGCAAAATCGTATTTGTGGGATCCCGCATGCGGGAGTAACTTTTAAAAATGTCTGCGGGATGGGATCCCGCGGGAATACTCCCGCAAAATCCCGCAAATCGAAAAAAGTGCGGGATTGCGGGAGCGGTATCCCGCAAAATCCCGCGCGGGATCCCGTCCCTCGCCGGTCACTAATTCAAACTTAAGACGAAGTTGATGACCAACGTGTTGATCATACTACCGCAATGCTATTTCATCCTGAAGAACAAAATGGATCTATTGCTGAAGCCGAACCAAGAAATTTAGCGCTTCAATGTCTTCGAGAACTTTTCCAAAAATGTAGTTTTGGATCTCTCAAGTTTATTATATTTACAAAAATTTTTTTTATTAAAAAATTCAGATCTGTACTTGAACCCGTCTTTAGACATTTTGATTTACACAATAAATGGGATCCTCCGCCAACTTTTGCTATTAAAACTTTCAAGGCTATTCTGTACAGCATTCAATCACAAAATTCTTATTTTGTTATACAGGTTATTTTTGATTTTTTACTCTTGTTTAAGATATTGGTAATAGTTAAGTTTGTGTTTCCCCTTTTTTTCTTTCGGCTGTGGTGTAGTGTACCGAGGTAAAAGTTCGGGACGTGGCATGACATTCGATTCATTTCGACGAGCTGAGTCGAACGGCACCACTCCCAATTTCAGGAAAGATTCTGGACCGAGTTATAGGTCCCGAAATATTGAAAAACCATAGGGGTAGTAAGATCGATTTAGGTATAGTATAACTCGGTCCAGAATCATTTCCTGAAATTGGGAGTGGTACAGTTCGACTCAGCTCGTCGAGACGAATCGAATGTCATGCCACGTCCCGAACTTTTATTTGGTACACTACACTACAGCCGAAAGAAATAAAGGGGAAACACAAACTTAACTATTACCAAGATATTTCTTAAAGGAACTTATTAATCAACTTGAACAAGTTCAAAATGGGGAATCTAATGTTCGTGTTGGAATGGCTACAGTTTTGGCAAATATTGTCAGCATTGCTGGAACGAGTATTGGCCCTCTTCTTTTAGCTATTTTTAATTCATTGTTAAAATTGCTTCGTTCTTCTGTTGAATTCCAACAGTCAAAGCAATGTGTTGATTTGGAAAAGGAAAAGTTATTTCAAAACACTTTAATCAATGCTCTTGGGGATTTTGCAAGTGCGTTACCTGATTATCAAAAAGTTGAAATTATGATGTTTACTGCTGGAAGTATTCCAAATGTTGAAAGCATAGGTTTTTTTTATTTTATTTTACTTGACAATTTTCTTGTTTTTTAGTAAATCTTAAAACGGAACGGATGTGCGAGGCATTTCTGCAAAAAGTCCTTGTAAAAACCTTGTTGGAGGTGGCAACAAAGTACAAAACGGTAATTTTTAAATAATTTTTTGTATCAGGACGTTAAAATAAAAAAAACTTTACGGAATATGCATAGATTTTTACAAATTCGGTTTTTAGGCCCTATACGCATATAAGGGGGTAATCGTTTTTTCCCTCACTTTTTTCCTTCATTTTTCCTTTCTTTTTTCCTTTCTAACTTTGACTGCCCGTGTTTTGTCCATCCATGTCCGTCCGTGTTGGTTCTGTCCGTCTTCGTCCGTGTTTTGTCTGTCCGAGTTCGTGCCTGTTTTGTCAATCTTTCCATTTGAATATGCCACAGGGAAATTCATTGGAAGTAAACAGAGGAAAAAATCTGACCATAATGTACAAAATAAAGAAAAATGGAAAGGAAAAAAGTAAGGAAAAAAAACGATTACCCCCTCATTTGCGTATAGGGTCGATTTTTATATAACGAGTTCAGTTCTTTAAAGTTACGACTTCAAATACTATATTATAAATAAACAAAAAACACACAAATATCTCCGTTTATTTCTACAGTAAATTTTTTAACGGAAACATTTTTTTATAAAATTGGCGAGTTTTTGTCATTTAATAGTATTTTAGTTCTATTTGGCCACAGTTTTCACCGATGCGTTTCTCAGGACTTTACTCCAATTGCAATTAACTAGAGATGCGGAAGTCAGATTAATTGCCCATCAAATATTCCAAACATTATTAGATCGACATGATAATCAACAGAAACTTGAACATTTACTTTTAACTCTGCCAGAAATGCGAATGGAAGATTTGCCTTTAATTGTTGAAAAATGTTCTCGTCAAGATTCTCTTTTTATGCGAAGGAATATTCATGTTATTGTTTCTACTTTATATAGGTTTTTAAATTTTTTACATCATTTTTTGTTTATTTATAATATTTAGAAGTGTTGTTATTGCAGAACCTGAAAATTCTGTTTCTATTGAAAAACAATATTTTGCTTTTCTTTGTTCATTGGCTTTAATTTTGGTTGAAGTTGGAAACGATGAAACGCAAGTTGAACTTTTTCGTCTAGCTTTTGCATTACAACAATATGCGTTAGATGAGCAATTATGCGAGGAAAAAGCAATCAATATACACAATTTGGTATCTAGATATATGTCTTTAAGCTCACAACTCGCTTCAATCCCGGCTCTTTGTCAACACGTTCAGCAGGTTTAATATTTAATGGAAAATTACAATTTTTATTTACAATTTTTCTCATAAAATAGATTTTGTTTCGAAATGTCGGAAAATTCAAATTAAGGTAATCAATCTTCGAGCTCAACGTGCTCATCCTCTTCTTAATATAAATAATACTGACAAACCAAAATCTATTGTTAACAACGTTGAAATTAAATTGACTGATGAAAAACAGGATCAACCCATTTCTGAAGAAGTCGAAAATGGTGCTGCTTTTTCTCCACCTCCAGGAAAAGCTCCAATTGCTCACATGGATTCTGAAGAAGATTTTTTGCCTTCTGTGCCTGGATCAAAAGCAAGCACTTCAAGGAATCAGAGAGTTCCTGAATCTAATACCAGTGGAAAAATGAATGGGTTGCCGACTGAAAATGACCCGGAATTGTTATTTTGTGCTGAAACAGCTTATGAAGCAATAAAAGAATCAAATAAAGAATCTCAACGACTTTTACAGGTTTTTTTGTGAAATATCTCGTGAATTTGTTAAACTAAATTTTCTAGCCTTTCACACCTATAAACGTCTCAAAATCACTGTTTACATCTTTTGAGGTCTCATCTATTGCGACAGGTCAGAAATCAACACAAAAAAGAGGTTCTTCTGGTACTCAACTTGCTGCACTTGATTTGGTTTGGTATAAATCTTTCAAAATTTATTTTGCATTTTTGCAGCCAACTACTGATAAAAGTAAAAGTACAACATCGACTTCAGGCGGTTTAATGTTTTCATCTCCATTAGATCGAAATAAAAGTGCAATAGAAATAAACGGAGATATTTGTGATCACAGTCAAAATGATTTTTGCTCTAACTTGAAGGAAATGGATGAAACAAAGAAGACTTTAAGTCAACAGAATAGTATTGATACTGTTTCTGTAGGAAGTAGTAGTGTGGATTGGAGTCCACCTGATACAGCAATACATAGCAGAAGGAATACAGTTCTTAGTGGACAAAGTAATGTTTTTTTAGAAATTTTTACTGATTTTTGAGTTTTTTTTTAGAAAACCTCAATCTTCCTATTACTGTTGAACAACTTCGAATTCTTGCCAATACTCCTCTGAATGTTGCTGAAGAGGAAAGACGTGACCAGGCATGGGAGCATTTTTTTAATTTAAAAAGTATGAATATATTTTTTAGGAAAAGAGTCGAGAAGTGTTAAAAATGTTTAGAGATAAAAATCAACAGCAACTTTCTGAACTATTTAGACATCATCAACGCCATTGTTCTTGCTCTTCTACAGGCCCTCCTTGCCCACATGGAAATGGTGAAAGTCAAGAAACATTAGCACAAACATTGCAGCGGTTAACACTTAGACATGATGAAGTATGAAAAATAAAGGCTCTTGTCCAGTTTAAGTGTCCAATCGCACCTTTATACGTCCAAAAAATTTTTATGCGTCCAATGGAAAGTTTATGCGTCCAATAATATTTTAAGCGTCCAATCACATATTTTAAATGCCCGGTTCTTCAATTTAGTACCATAAAATAATGGGAATAGAAAGCTCTACCCACCCAGTTTTGAACCACTCGAATATTACCAGTCCATAGGTTTTAACACACAGAACTGGTTACTTAAAAAGTGTGATTGGACGCATAAAATATGATTGGACGTATAAACTTTTCATTGGACGTATAAAGATTGAATGGACGTATAAAGGTGCGATTGGACGCATAAACTGGACAAGCGCCAAAATAAAATATTCTATACTAAGTAAAACTCTTTTTAGAAAACACGAATTCGGATGTTTGGACAACAAGCTCCGCCTGCAACTATTTTTGACATAAAATTCCCTTCTTCATTTGAATTTTAAAATATTATTTTCGATCTAGTTTATACATATAACATTCCAAATTACTGTTTTTTGTTTAAAATGTGCAAGCCTTAATAATTATTTTTTCTTGTCAATAATATTAAATAATAAAGAGTTTATTGCTTAAATTATTTCAAAACTTGAGTGCTTATTTAAATAGAATTCCTTTGACTTTTAGACAATTTTTAAAGGGTTTACGGATATAGATAATAACTTGAAGATATGAAAATCTGTAACCGCCAAGAATGTCTGCTACTTTTGATGGCAATCCCGGAGAATTGGGGTTTCTTCGAAAAAAAAATTTAAAAAAAAAGAAAAGGGATTTTTTAGGGTAAAAAACATGCTGATTACGAATCCGAGCTCAGATTTTCAAAAAGTCGAATCCCAGACCCGAATTCGGAATTTAACCCCGGACATTGTCGTACATTGTATAAAATGGTCAGTCTTTCATTGACAAGTAGAACTCATCGAGCTGCATCGAATGACACCAAAATCAATGAAGTCCGGCCTGATTGGACCGAGATACAGACCCCTGAATATTGAAAAACCATAGGGACGATATTTTGGAGTAAAAAAAGTCTGCGACGTTCCGTCGCGCCGTTTCGCTCGCGACGTTTTGCCCGCGCCGTTTTGGGCTAACAATATGGACATTTCGTTACCAATATTCTATCGTCTATATTTTAACAAAAACCAAAAAAATGGCGAACAATCCTTTCCATTATTACAAAAACTTTGGAATAAATTTTAAAAATGTTTAACTTATTCATATTTTCATTTTTCTTATTTTTAAAAATTTTTTTGTTTTTCTTCATCTTTTTCAGTTAATTTAATTAAAAAATGCAACACAAAAGGATCGGATTTTCATCATTCCCCGTCCAAATACCTTCTTCTCTTCCATCATTCCCCATTCCTCCTCCCCCACTACTTCCAACTTCATCACTTTCTCTTCCAAATTCTTCACTTTCTCTTCCTTCTCTTCTACCTCCTCCAAAAAAGAAAGAAGCTTCAAAAAGACGAAGAAGATCGTCCTTTTCTTGTGATGGAACGAAAAAATTAATTCCTTTTACAGAGTATTTTTTTAATTTTTTGATTAAACAAAAATTAATTTTAAAAATATTTAGGGTAGAATGGAAGTATGTTCAACGAAAGTTTATGAATGAAGATCAGCACACTTTGAGGGAGTTGACAAATATTATGAATATGTGGTTGGATAGGTATTTCTTTTAAATTTTCTTTTTGATTGAGTAATTAGGTTTAAGGGTAATGTTGAACCGGACATACCCCCTTCTTTTCTCCCCAATTTTACTCCTATATTTTTGCAAAATGGTCAGACTTCCTTTCTTCGATCCAAATTGCCTTTCTAATTTTTGCCTACAATCATACAAATAAGATCATTTAATTTGCAAGTAAGTACATGCCAGAAACGAGTAAAAGAAGGACATTATAGGAGGAAAATTGTGGGGGAAAAAAGAGGGCCTGTTCGGTTCAATATCACCGGTTTAAGTAATCAAAATTCAAGAATTTATTCTTTTTTGTATCATTCATCCCCATTCTCGAATTTTACGATTAAGATTAATATTGGGCATACCCAGGTCCGGACTAGGAGGGGGAATTCCCCGCCCCGAAATGGGGAAAAGGGAAAAATTTGGGAAGGGGAATGAGCAAAAAAGTGAAATTTCTCGACTATGACCGTCCAATTTTCAAAAAAATTTTCGTTGCGGCGCAGAAAAATTGAATTTTTAGCGCAAAAAATTTTTCCCTCTTGCTCTCTTCCCCTAGAAAAATCCTGGTTACGGGCCTGGACATATCCTATAAAGATCTATCCTAACATAAATAGAATTCAGCTTTAGATTTTCGGATTCAGAGTTGGATCGACTGCTTTCCTAGCGTAACTGGGACCCCTTAAAATTCAACTTTTTACACAATCCCATCTTGTATCCTAATGGTTTGGGTGTGAATGAATATAGGTTATCTTGTATTTTTCCTTGGGTAAATTTGTCTGTTTATTTCTTTGAATTAGGTAATTTTTGAAGGACCCCCTTTTTATTTTCTAAATTTTCTTCTCTACTTCTATTTATTTTCGAATTACTACATTAACAGTGAGAACTGTTAATGAGCCAAAAGCACTGCCTTAATGTTGGCGGCAACGGTCGGATTAATTTCTGGCCTAAAAATGTGCTCTTTCTTTATTTTCTTAATATTTTCTAAAAATTTCTGAAAATTATTTTTTATTTTAAATTTCATCCATAGAAATTTTTTCTTTTATTTTTCAGAATGTGGCATGATACTCCCGTTTTTATTAGTATTTCTGAATTAGTCCTCAGAGCTCTTGTGCTAGATCAAAAACGTCATGGTGCTAAAGGAAGTGGATTGGATAATGCGGATGTTGGATTAATTCTTTGTTCGGTTATTATAAGGTGGGGAGTTTTTTTTATTTTTTGATTAAAATAATGAGAGTATATGTACTAAGGTTTTTAACTTTGAGAAATTTTTTGCCATTCTAGTAATTCTCGTTATACCTATTAAAAATTCCTATTAAGTATATTTCTTTTCTCTATTTGACCGAAAGTCTTTAAGATTAGTCTTAAACTCAGCCAATTTCCCCGTTCTATTAATTGTAAGTAGATAAGGCTTCAAGTTTTCTTCAAAATTTAAGCGGTTGTTCCCGTTTCCTAGTGCCTTGTTTTCCAGTTGATATGAGCAGAGTGGTGCATGTTGTACTCATAAGGAACCTATCTGGGGTCAGAATGGGGGAATATAAGGTGAGCTCTTCCCTATAATTGGAAGAGCTGTCTTTCCCTATATTTCATCCTGATTTCTTCACGTGGTTTCAGAATGATCCCGGCCTTCAATATCATATTTCATTCAACTCATGGTTAGAATGCCCCAAACTTTGTTTTTAGCTTAATCTGTTGGAAAATCCCCAAGAATCGTTATAATAATGGGACACCATATCTTTTTCTATATCTGTCTAGAAAATTCTTTATAAAAATTATTTTATTCACTTTTATTAAAAATCTCATCTCCTCCATAAACAAAAAATAAACAAAATAAAAGTTATTAAAATAGTTTTTGAATAAACTTTATTTCCTCCATCCCCATCCATTGCTAATAGATATAATCCTGCTGCCGCTAAATTTTTATCTCCATTACAAAAATTACTGTCACAAGTACATCTTATAACAATTCTTGGCCCCAAATAAGTTTGTCTGCAATGATTGTCTTCGTAATCGTTGCTACAGGCTTTTGAGACAGTTTTTCTTTCTAAAATAAATTTTTTGTTGGAGAATTTCCCAAAAAATTAAACGTTCATTAAGACTTTTAATTACTTTCAATATTGTTATTAACAGTTTTTTCGTTAATGCTAACCCTGGGCTCTATTTAGACTTCGCTAGGATCGGAATGGGTGAATATCTATTTAGAAAAGGTCGTTTAGTTATTGAAGACAGATTTCTATTGGAAACGAGTTCAGTGCTTTTCAATCCCCTTTATTCTAAGAATTCAATGAATCCTTAGGTGGGTAGCCAGAGGTGGGTAAGATCAGCCTGTGTTATAAATCGGAGCTTTTCTACTCTTCCCTAATTTCTATTTCCTTAATAACCAGAGGTGGGTCGAACAGCCGAAGGTTTCAGAAATCGGAGCTTTCCCAAATAGTAACTGAAATCAGAAAATTTTCGGAAATCATATGAAAAAATGTCTGAAAATGGCTTTTCGCCCACCTCCAGTACTAACCATTATCAGTATTTGATGTCTCCATTTTTACACAAGTAGCACCCATACATTCACCCACATTGCATGATATGTCTTCCGAACGGCAATCATAGCAACTTATTGCTTTAAATTTATTTTAAATGTTTTTTTGAAGTTTAATTTATTTTACCTTTTATATTTGGTAGCCTATCCATTAAGATTAAAAAATTAATTATGCAGATAAATACATTATAATACATTTTTAGCCTCTATAAAAATTTAATTTTTATAGGAGGTTTCGCCTAGCTTCCATACTAAGGTTGACGGATAGTTGGAAATCTTCGGATATCCGGATCCGGCAATCGTAATCCAAACCACACTAGGGATGTTACGGGCGGAGAAGAAAGTCGGGTAGGACGTTTCTCGAATCGGATTTCGGGTAAAAAAATTGTGCGGGGTTTAGATTGATTTCGGTTAATCCGCAACATCCTTGTCCCGCCCACATTTTTTTAAAAGTGTGCCTTAAATTAAGGTATCTAATACATATAAGGTTATCTTATAGTGAGGCTGATTGTTTCAGTATAGCGCTTTTTAAAACCATTGTGGATTTTTGGCCTTTTCGGCATTTTATTTATTTTAATTTTCAATCCCAAATTTTGTCCATTTAAAAGCAACCTCTTAGTCATCTCTTAGTCATCTTTTTATCGACTTGACCTGAGTGGACGTTTTAAATGAACTGTTTTGTTTAAAAAAAGGGACGGGTGAGGTAGTTAGTGGTCCACAAAAATGTGAAAAAGATGAGTAAAATTGTGTGCTAAACCTTGAAAATTTTGGGGTTTTAAAATGAACAAAGTATGGGAGAGAGAGGGATAAGGGAAGGGAAAGGCACTTAAAATTGGGAGAAATGAAATAGAAAATAAATTGTATGCTTTTTTAAAACATTTAAAAATTTATTTTCGTTTTAACCGAAAATGCAATTTGTTCTTCTATAAAATTTTTTTAATCAATTTGTTTATTTTAATTGAAAATTTTTTTGGTTTTAACAAAATATGAAACAAAATTATACCGCTATTTGGTTGGCCATTTAGTTGAGTGGAGGAGGGGGGGGGTTTATAGAGTGATTCAACTGTATTTAACTTTATTTTGGTTTTTTACCAAGATAAAGTTTCTCTTAACTTTTTAATTTCATTCTTTGGTCTTGAAGTTCTTAATTCTAAAGATTCTTTACCAACCAAGTAGAGAAGTATATTTACCGTATTTCTTCAAATACAGCCCCATGGGGCTCTATTTTTCAACTATCCTCCAAGGTGGGGCTGTAATAGAGGGTGGGGCTCTATTTGAAGAAATACGGTAATTTAAAACCCAATTTATATAATTAATATTTTTGTCCTTAACTCAAACACTTTTCTATTAAAATTCTAACTTTCCCTTCCCTATTTTTTTTTTGATTTTTGGGTTTTTAACAATTTTTAACACCCTTCGAAAAAATAAAAAAATAATAAAGAAGATTACGTGATTGTCATGATTTTGCTTTTAAATAATCACTTTTAAAATATTATTTTAAAAGACTTTTTTGGATGCCAACTATGTGAAAAAATTGCATGAGGACCTGTAAGGGAATTGAGTTACTTAAAGAGGGTAATATGAATGAATGAGGACGGAAACGAGCACACAAGTGGGGCTTAACGGGGTAAAAGGGATGGGTAAATGGAAGGATAGGGGAAAGGTTGTGACTCAGAAAAAGAAATTGGGAGAAAACAAGTGTTTGGAAATTTTGCTGGGAGAGGGAATGTTGAAAGGGGATAAGCTAGTAATATAGTATTTCTCGAATTGAACATGATATTTTACGATGTTCTCAATCTCTGTTCATTATCTTTGGTCCAAGTATGTCAAGCTTAATGTTAAGGAATTCATTTAATTTTTTAAACCATTCCTGTCATTTTAAATCTTTCCTTCCTCTCCCTTTCTCATTTCGAATATCCTTGATATATCTACATCTATTAGTTAATCTAGCTTATCGATGACTTTAAAACCCCCAGTCTTTCTTTATCTTAGTTAAATTTTTTTGATATTGTTATTGAAGCTAGAGTTATACAAAACCGGATAACCGACCGGTTAATCTTTTCCCTTTTGCGTGTCAAATAGAATGAATAAGTGCATACGCGTCGTTACAGGGAAAAATTAATCGGTCTGTTATCCGATTTTGTGCAACTCTAATTGAAACGGTTGTCGTTTTGGAATCGAGCCGATGATTATTCGATTCTTTCTAACTCGAGATAAAAACCAATCGAGGCAAAAATCATTTGAGACAAGGAAAACAGCTATAGTTTTCCTTCTCGGATTGAGAAATTTTCCCGTTATTTTACTATACTAAAGTTTTACTTTTTTTCCTTATTTGTCTCCTATTATTCCCCATTTTATGTCTCCTCTTTTGCACAAACTCATAATAATAATTTGATTGGCCCACTTTGTCGGTAAATTTTTTCCCTTTTTTACTTGTTATTTTTTGCCACCTATGACGATAAATAAAGTCACCCCTTTTTTTGAGGAAGATGTTGTTAAATGCGCTTATTTTTTCTTAAAGTTGAGGAATGTAAATAAATAATAAAAAATTATGGAAAAAATTTTGATGGAAAATTCAAAAATTTATTCTTTTGAGAATACAATAGGTGGACTTCATTATAGACCTTGGGCTAAAAATTGTACTTGTAATCAGGGTTGCCGTTTTCAACTCGGGCCGACGGTCGAGTCATTTTTTCGGGCCTCATTTTTATCGAGTCGGGCCGGTACGAGTCTTTTTCGGGCCAAATATCCTAGGCCCGACTCGATCTTTCGGTCCGAGTCGGGCCATTTTGGCAACCTTACTTGCAATGAGGTGTGTCTTAAATTAGGAGATTGCTTAAGCTTCTTCCCATCTAGTTTCATCCATTCTATTCTTAAAAAACACATCTTTAATTGAGGGCGGGTGTAATTTATTTTGGGACCGACTTTTTTTTCCAAATATTTTTAAGATTTAGGGTTAAAAAATATTCTAAGCAGTAAAAGACAAAAAATGTTTAAAAATCAATTTTTACTTTATTTTCCTCATAAATAATTTTCAGATTTGTAAATTATGTAAACGAAGTTTGTCAACCAGTATTACATAAAATTAGCATAAGAAATGCAGTTGGAAAGGTACTTGGATATAATGAAAAATTTTTTTATTATATGAGTGTATTAAATAAATTAATATATTTACTGGTAAAGTCTGCAGCTTTTTATCCGTACCAACGAATATATTTGCTTATTTAAGGTTGTCGGTTTTTGGAAAATTTTCAGATATCCGGAACCTAACCGACAAAAATTTCCTTTGTTGGTAAGTAATAATCTTGTTCCGGATATACTTTTGACTTGCGGATAAAAGTTGCGGACTTTTTTAGCACGATTAAAAGACACCTATCCTATTTCATATTTTTTTCTTCCAGATGGATATTCCAAATTGGATTGTTAACCTTAGACACCAGGTAAACTAGTTTTAAGGAATTTATTGTCTTTATAAATTGAAAATAATTTCATTCCAGGCGACTCACGGGCAAATCCCTCCAATGAGTATGTTGAAAGAGGCTATTAAATTTTGTCGAAAATGGCTTTGGGTATTTGTGTTCTCTTTTAATTTTAAATTAATTTTGAAAAAAGTTCCAACATTGGTCAAAGCCTCTCACAGATGCAATTAAACAAACTTTGCCTGGAGAGTATGAAGAACAGATTCAACTATTGCAGTCTCATTTAAGTGAGTTTGACTGGAAAGCTTAAAAATTCAAAATTAAATTAACGGAGATAGAAAACAATTAATTATAAGCAAAAATCAGAATTAAATTGAAACAAATCAGAATTAATTTAAAAAATCAGAATTAACAAAAAAATGAACGGAAAAGAAAACAGAATTAATTAAAAGCAAAAATCAGAATTAATTAAAAACAAATATCAGGGTACTCTGCGTTTATATACCACCATGTCCGCAAACGTATGTCCGCACTTATTTTCTTTTCCTTCTTTCTCCTCTCATAAAGATTAGAAATGGTAAGTATTAATAAACCATGATTTTCTTTTTCTTCTTCTTTCTCCTATCATAAAGATTAAAATGGTCAAGAAGAATTTTATCATAAATATTAAGAACATCAAATACTATAGATAATCCTGAAAACTGAAAAAAAGCAGGATTTCGGACAGGATCGAATGGATTTGTAAAAAAATAGCAGAAATATGGCCTCCGAAGTAATTTCTAAAATTGTCTTATTTTTGCTTTTATATTTTTATATAAACGAATATTTGTCCTTTGTTTTTACTTACCATTTCTAATCTTTATGAGAGGAGAAAGAAGGAAAAGAAAATAAGTGCGGACATACGTTTGCGGACATGGTGGTATATAAACGCAGAGTACCAATATCAGAATTAAATTGAAACAAACCAGAATTAATTTTAAAAATCGGAATTAACAAAAAAGAAATAAACGGAAAAAATCAGAATTAATTTAAAACAAAAACCAGAATTTAATAAAAACAAAAACCAGAATTAAATTAAAATAAGGGAACACAAAAAATTAAATTAAAAATCAGATAATCGCATGTGCAACGCCCTTCAACGTTTTCGTGAATGGAGGCGTTTGGTTAGATTTTGAATTTTATCTAAATTTTTAAATTTATTCTTATTAATTTTTCAGAACCCAACTTTAACAGAATTTCCTTCAGCCAATTCCAATTCCCCCTCAACCTCCACTTCCACCTCTCCCAGTAATGTATCAATTCGAAATTCGTTTGAAAGTTTGTTAGATTCACATGAAGAGTTTAGTTGATTTCTTTGTGAATTAAAAAAAAGGATTTTTTAGAAGTTTTATTCCCTTTTTTGCCCTCACTTGTTTGGCTCAAAATTCAGCAGATGATGACAAAAGTTCAATTAGTAGCGAATTGGCTGAGTCTGAGGATGATATTTTTGTAGCAGATAGTATGGACGAGGGGGAATTTTTGCAGGGAAATTGTAAGAAATTTGAAGAAATTTTAAAATATATTTTATTTTTTTAAAGTGTTTTCCCAACAGAAACATATTGGGATAATTTCTGCTGAAGAACAATGTTGTTATAGGTAAATTGTCTAAATTTCTGATTCTTCTATCTAAAAATTCTGATTTTATTTTAATTTCTGATTTTCCTCTTTCCTCTCTTTCTTTATCTCAGTTACATACACAGCAGGGCTGGGCGTAATGAAAAAATAAAAAGCGAAATGCGAAACTTTTCGCGCTAAAAAATGCGAGAATGCGAAACGCGAAATTGCGAAATTTGTTAAGAAAAATCGCAAAATAAAAAGCGAAATACGAAACTTTTCGCGCCAAAAAATGCGAAAGATGCGAAACGCGAAAGTGCGAAATAAGCCCAGCCCTGATACACAGGTCCACATACCGTATTTACTCGATTAATTCCCCTCCCTTGAATAATTCTCTCCCCCCCTCCCATGCCACGGATGGGTTGAAACAATAATCCCCCTCCGCCAAATACCCTACTACACGTTCAAATTTAAAAAAATTATTGAAAAAAAATTCCCCAGGGGAATTATTCGAGTAAATACGTTAAGTATAAGTCCACTCCCTTTTTTCGAGATTTTTTTCATTTCCAATGATCCAAATTTTCTGAAAATTTAGATACACACCTTTTTAGTGAATAACTATCAAAATGTCTATTTTCTTCTAATTTTCTTTTAATTTTTTCTATCGTTTTTATTTTTTACTTTATCCGTTTTCTTTCTGATTAATTTTTTTTCAGTCCAATTTTTCATTTAATGAGCTCTAAAGGCCTCTTACACTGTCTTTTACTTGAGGTATTTTTAAAAATAATTTTTTAAATAAAAATTATTTTTTGCTTCAGATAACTCGTTTAGTTTCTAATGAATGTTTTTTGCCAACTTTTGGTCGTCGTAAACATTTGGCTGGGTGGGCGGAAATTTTGCTTTCTGCATATCTTAAAACTCGTAAAAAATAAATTTAAATAAAAAATTTCTCAAAAATTCTTTCCAGCAAATAGTGTCTCTTTTCAAGATTGGAGAACAATTCTTAGACATTTTGTTATGGCTCCCCAATTTTTTCAGGATGAACAAATTAAAAGGTGTGGACCAGGAAGGGGTGTGCCAGTTTCGCCTTTTGAAAATTTTCGCGTTCTTTGGACTTTCGTGTTTCGGATTTCGCGTTCCACTTTTTAAATTTAATTTCGCCTCTAGCGTTTCGCTTTTTAAAATCTGTTTTGGCACACCCCTGTTGTGGATTATTCTCTATTATTTTTTAATTTAATAATTTTTCTCAGTTTATTATCAATTCTCAATGACGGGTTAAGCAAAAAATGCAAAGCTAGACTTCTCAAATTATTCAATATTCGAGAACAAACGGGTGTAAAGGAGGAACCAAATACAACATTAATTGACCAATCCACTATTTATTCGATTAAAACACTCGGGGATTTACAATCTCAAATAGTTCAGAACGAGCAAAATCTTGGTACTTTTTTACTTTAAAATAATTTTTTGAAATTTAATCAGAAAAATTAGGAGGTTAACATGGATATTTTAAAAATAGCCTAAGTCGACATAGTTCTCCATTAATATAGGGATAACAAGTCCGTAAAGTCGGCCTGACTCCAATTACATATACTATATTTATGAGTACACCCCATTCTTTCCATAGCCCAACTTGTCAAATCGGAGGTTCCAACAAAGGTGAAGGTTGATTCATCAACGGGTGAAGTTTCCAATAAAGGGGAATTTCGGCGGTAGGTTGGGGTTGCGGTAAATTGGGCTGCCCCTATTTTTATGGGGATAAAAATTCCAAAAACCACTCAAAAATATTATTTAAATAATTACATCATAAATAGAGACTGAGACGAGATCTCGATCGAAAATCTCGGTTGTCGAGAATTTTTCGAGAGCTCGATTCACGTACAACATTCCCAGTCCGGTCTCTAATTATAACCTTACCTTAAACTTCAAAAAAAGTACTTTTACTAATTCAAAAATTCCCAATAGACTGTACATTTATTTGTGACCCTTTAACTATGGAGGATGATTGGTCCCTATCATCAGCTAATGAATTGGGGCCTTCACTGGGATTAACTTGTGATCAGACTGCTGATACTCTTTGTTTGGCTTTGGAATCTAATTTCTATTAAATTATTTGTTGTTACTTCAAATTTTTTTGAAAATTTTATTTTTAAAAGATTTTAAAGAAAATTTTTTAATTTGGCATGTGGATTTGTTAAATAAATTTTAATTTTGTTTGTTTTTTGTTTTCATTGAAATCGGGTACTATTTATTAAATAGATATACTTACCTACTAGAGATAGGCCTGGGTCTGGACCAAGGCCTGGGTTTTTCCTGGGCCTGGGTATTTCCTGGACTACAGGCCCAGGATCCAGTCCAGGTCAAGAAATCAAACTCCAGAGTCCAGGAACAGGTCCAGGTTTTTCAAAATTTCCGATCTCTACTACCTACCTTCATTTTTTGACGTTTACCTAATTTTTATTTTTTTTCGTTAGCCTTAACAAAATTAACCAATTTTTATATTTTATTTAAAATGAAATTAGAAGATTTGCTTCCAGAACTTAAAGTTTAATTTTAAAAATAAATTGAAAAATTTTTGATTTTTGAATATATTTTTATATTTTTGATATTGAAATCAGGGTGACCATTTTACACTATTTTTAGGGCATTTGCTCTATTTATATACTTTTCGCCCTATTTTTTCCCTATTTTTTCATTTGCCATATTTTTGACCGTCAACATGCGAGATTGAATTTGCAAAGAAATAGTGATTATATTTTTAGTAAACTTTTTTTGTAATTGTTGTATGTCCCCTTTTTATTGTTTACAATATTGGCTTTTTAATTTTTGTTAGTTATTGATAAATATTTTTTAAAGTACACACAAATATCTCACGGTTTTAATTAAAATAACAAAATTTTCTCACAAATATTTTTTGTATTTTGAAAGTTATTATGTGAAATATTTTTATTATAGCTACCCCGCACTTTCGTTGGGCAACGGCTCACTCTCGGGCGCGAAAGGCGTTTCCCCTAAAGTTTTAAAGACTAGCTCCCTAACAAAGTTTTATCACAAATAAATGATTAAAATAAAGAGAAGGGAGCAAACGGGCGAAGTTTTTGGTGCGGATCGAAAATTCAAGACTAAACTTCTAGCCCGGTTCTCCCTTCCCTTTTATTGGCAAATAAAATGGGCGTGAAATAGTTTAATTAATATTTAAATTATGACAATTTTATTTAAAAATTTTTTAGTATTATTCTAATTTTGCTTTATTTTACTATACTTCTTTTAAAAAATAAAGTAAAAAAATGTCCAATTTTATTGATATTTTCATTATATGGGATTTTTGGGCAAGTTTATTACTTGGTTATCCTCTAAACATTCTTCTAATTATTTTAATTATTTTTAAAACACCAAATGAAATGAAAACACACAGCAGAATTCTGATACAAAATTGTGTTTTGGATATTTTAATATTAACATTTCAAATGTTTATACAAGTGGTAAAACTTTTAGAAAAACCAGAATTAATATTGAACAAAACTTAGTAATTAAAAATAGAAAAATAACTTTCCGGAAAGATAATAGAGAATGTAATATACAGTAAAGCGCTTGGTGTATTATTGATGTTATTATCAGAGTCGCGCATGTTGCAATCATGTGTGAACTCCGCAGAGTATAGAAAATAGGTAATCGCTCGCAGTTGGCGAATACGTCTTCCCTATAAGACTCGATGGATTGGCCGGCCGGCAACTCTGTTGAATGAATGAAGAAGTGATCTGCCTTTGCCTATTCCATTAGGGCTTATATGCACCAGCCTACTTCCTTATTGCTTTCCCAAGGATAAGTTTGTGGCGATGTTAAGCTCAGATAATGGGCGACTAATAACTAATGGTAATGGCCGTTTGTGGCGTTCTTTGCCTTTTCTCTGGGAACTTCCGTTAACTAGAGCGATAATTGCTCTTCACTTGTTTTTAGGATGATATCTGCCTTACAATACTCTATCCCAAAAATATACATCCATCTATATTTTGTGGCTTAAGTCCGTAAGTTGTTAACGGATTTGAATGAAAATTTATTAAATAATGCACAAAGACATTATCAAACTATATTTAAAATTTGAAAAAATTCTAATCATGCTATCAAGAGTTGCAGCTATTTATTTGTAAAATAGGTGTCCTATAAATATACATCCACTTTCCAAAAAGTTATTTCCAACTATAGGAAAAATCTACAAAAATTCCAGTAAACTTATATATCGATATCATAAAAAAATAAAAAGAAAGTAGGTCCTGATATGTACTCTATCGGTTATTTTCCGGAAATGTTATATTTTTACGGAAATATTAATAATGTAAAGCATATAGCTATTAATTTCCTAAGGCTGAGCAGTAGGCGGCGTGTTGTAACGGCTAACACATCAGTCCGGTCTACTGAAGATGCTGGTTCGCTCCCAGCCGCCAAATAACCTTTTGCACTAGCTAAAGGAGAGAAATAGCTATAGCCCAGCTGCTTTACTATAATTAGATAGATATTAATAATTAGATAGAATTTAAACCAGAAAAAACAAAAAAAAACCATAATTTAATAAAAATAAAGGCAAAAATATTTTTAAGTTTTATTTATACGACAAGGCTGGAAATGCAATTTTTATTATCTCTGACGGGATTTTGATTTATTTTATGAAAGAAATATTTAATCCATTATTTTTTTATTATATGATTATTGTTTGGATATTTATTTACAATTTAGGTGCAAACGGATTATGTGTCCAATTTATATATAGATATTTAGTTTTAAACAGGTAAAACAAGTAAAAAATCAGGGTACTTTTCGGTTATGAGGTTACAACTTTTAAAAAGTTCTCAAAATGGTCAATATATCATAAATAGGGTAGAGAAAGGTGCTGAGTCGGACGGTACCAATCTTTTTTCACGGAGAATCTTGTGGATCGAGATATAAGGCTCGAAATGGTCAAAAACCATAGGGAGTAGTAAGCTCATTTTTGGGATAAAAATTAAATTTTTTGAATGATAGCTCATTCGAAAGAGCTCATCGAGCTGAGTC